ACTTTTCAAACCTCTTCTTTCATAGGCTGCATTTCCTGGTAAATGATCACAAGTGGCTCTGGCTGTGCAGTGGCTGTTCAACACCAGCGAAGCGCAAAGGTAAGCTCCTTCCCATCATGTAATTTGGAGATTGCCAGATACATCCAGCCGCCTTCTGGCCACCAGGAAAACAATTTGCACCTGTGGTGCTTTTTCACAATTTATTTGTAATAATATAATTTTTTGGGAGGGGGAAGGTAATACGTACTTTGGAGGAAACACGTAATTTTTTTGAAGCTGAGGAAGAGCAACCGTTATTCTTATCCATTGGAAATTGCAAGAAGGTTCTGGAGGGGGCGGGGAACAGTGGCTTTTTGAGGATAATTTATCTGGATTTATGAGTGGGTGCATCCGAAGGCGTGGGTTGGTGCTGGCCCGGCAGCGAGATCGGTGGGATGGACCTCGTGCTTGGCTGAGGGGGGTTTGCGGGTCTCGGAGATAACGAGGGCGATGCTTTCACTGATAGCTGAAATGAGGCCAGGATGGGGCTTTCCCACTATTTCTGTTTGATTTATTTGCTCGTGGTGGGTGGTTAAAACTGCGCTCGGGCAAGGAGGTCCCTGCTGAGTTCTGTCCTGCCCGGAGAGTTTGGAGCCCAGGACTGAGGTCTGAGTAGGAACGTTTAGTTGCAAAATAAGGAAAATGAAAAAAACCCCTCACATGTGAAGCGCGTCACAGATAAAATGTGCTTCAAGGCCCAGTACTTATGGAAGTTGTTAGAATGAAGATTGCGCTGCTGCCAAGAACATTAGATCCAGATTTCTTTCTTTTTTTTCTTTTTTTTTTCCTGTTGCCTTTCAGAATACTCAGAGCATTGTTCTTAAAAAGCTTCAAAGTCTGGATGAAAATTCAAATAACTTAGGAAATTGGATATAGAGAACTGGGGGTGGTTCAGGCTTGTTTCTGACCAGGATTAGATGGGATTTCTGTAGATCGTGAGTCTTTGGGAAATAAATTTTTTTATACTTTTTGCATAAGGTTGCTGTCAATGGTAACTGTAATTCCAGTCTGTGGATTACTGGTGGGACATTAGCTCAAATGAATGATTTAATACTTGTAATTTCTTCCACTGACTTTGTTTCTAATGTGGTATTTTTTAATGATTTTCCATTCTGTTTTGTAGTTTGTGCTATTGTTGGCTTCTTTTAATGAAAATATATTCTTTGCCCCTTTGCCCACTACAGCTCGCACCATGACTCAAGGATGTGGCTAACAGCTCCTGTGTATCTTCTAAAAAAAACCCAAAAAACAAACCCCAAACAAGCTTAAAATATTTCAGCTACGATAAACAGGCGCTGTAACCTCAGTGCCTGTCGTGTTTCCCTGCTCTTTGATAAAGTCATGGGGGGGAAATAATTTAGATGCTGAAGGTTTCTGGCTGTGTTCCTTTGGGGTCAAATCCTGTGGGCTAGACTTGGGGGAGTCTTCTCTCTGATACAGCAGAGAGCAGGAGGGCTTCGACAAGTAATTTCAGATTGCTGAATGGTGTCGGCGATCACCCCACCTCATGCCTCTTCCTTGACACCAAGTATCACCTGCTTCAGTCTTTATTTCTCAAATTTTTGCCCAGCTTTGGTTGTTTTATCACGATGCATACTCCTGAGATCTTAAAAGACGTTGGAATGGTATTAATTGTTTTGCTTATTTGTGAAGTTTTGCTCGGTTGCTCCTCCCCGTAGAAGAGCGAGGCAGAGCCGAGTGTGGCTCTGATCTTGGGGTTTGAAACTCTCCAGAGATGGAGACAGAACGTGAAACTGTTGGCAAATAAGCAGCGAGGTCTCCTTACATCTCGCCTTTGCAAATCTGACGAGTATCTTATTAGTCTGCCAGCTGATTATTGAGTGGTTTATCTCTACATTTTGTATAACGAGCTGGGATGTCACCGTTTTCCCTGCCCAGAGTTGTGGAGCTTTTCTGTGCCTTGTAGCCATGGCGGTCTACAAGCAAAACCAAGGCCCAGTTTTCAGAAAGAAATCGTAATTTTCGTTACACAAATAATTTCAGATCATGGGAAAAGAAGACCGGCTAATCAAGCATTGACTATCGTGACCTCCTTCGGTTGTGCCAGCGCTGTCAGAGGTGACCTGGTCCTTCCTGAAGCTGTGAAAGGGATGCGTGTGTGTGTGTGTGTGCGGGGAAATTCAAAATAAATGCATTCTTAAAGTTCATGAAGAACATGCCACTACCTACCTAATTTGAATGGTCAAGGTTTAATTGTGACTCGGTTTCCTTTTCTGTGCTCGCTTGATGCAAGGGCTGCAAGTAGGTGTATTGAAAATTAAATATCTGTACAGGGGTAATGACTTGAGTTAAGAGTGGCTCTAGTAGGAGTGAGAGTAGGTGGTTGGGGTTTTTTTCCCCCCTCTTTGTGAACTTAAAAAAAACGAGTGTGAATCATGCTGAGGGTGCTACAGGACTTTCTGATCAAGTCAGTGGGATACCACAGTTTCCAAGAGAAGCCCAAATGGTCATGTTCAGAATTTTGAAAGTTAAATTGAATTTCATTAAAATTAATACCGTGGAGGAGCTACTGGTGCAGGCTGCAGGAAAACCCAAACGTATCTCAGCAAACCTGACCACAGGAGGTAAGAAAAAGTTGTTCTCCACTAAGAACTCTTTGAAATCATGGGCTCCTGCAAAACAAATGCGTTTATGATGATAGCTCTGCTCTTCTGTCAGCCATCCCAGCTCAGTCACTGACTGGTGGAGCTGTCTCTGGTTTTGGGAGATTCTGCAAATAGTAAAGTAAAACCCTGGGCCTAAGGTAAAATCACAGATAAGTAACATTAAACAGTGGCTTCAAGAATGAAAAACACTAGGAGATATCCAGTTTAAAAGTGGTTTGGTTTAAGCCTGGTGCTTTTTAAAGCCTTCTGGCAGGTGAGGTGGAGCTGAGCAAGTCCAGGTATTACTCAGCAGCTGCTCTGAGTGGAAAGTTAGTAGTTGGTTGCAATGTGAATAATTGGTTGCGCTGTGAAGAGTTGGCTGTGCCGTGAATAATTCAAGTGCAGTAGTTCAACTCTTTCTTTGTGTAGGTCCCATCCTTTCGTGCCCAGCTGCAGAAACTCATCCTTTACCTGGCTGTTGGGATACGGTATTTCAGAACCCTGCTGCGGTTCACATCCTGGTGCTACTTCACGTGTTTCCGTAGGCTGTGAGCTTTGTCAGTTCAATCTCGGTTTTCGAAGGTCACTGCGACGTGGATGTTTCCAAAGCGCTCGTCTTGCGCGGGATGCTGAGAGATGCCGACAGCCAAACTGAGACCCGTGCCACCCCATCCCCACCTGGAGATACCTGGTGGTTTGGGGCCTTCTGAGCAGGCTACAAAACTACTTACATTTGGACTGAAGCATGAGAATAGGACTTTTTTTTTTTCCTTCACCCCACATTACATATTCTGTGTCTCCCTCTTACCACCTTTTAGGGAGCTGCACAAACCAGTTCTGACCTCCAGCTCCAGACTGGGTTTGTGATTCAGGCATCACGGAAAATGATGCAAAGCCCCTGGTTTGTGTGTGGATGGATTAAATCTGAGTTTACATGTGTGATAAATCCTACTCTCATGACAAGTCATTTCCATGATTGTTAGTGACTTCAGCACAAGTCCTTGTCCAAAAATTCCCCGGCGTTGGGTGGTCTGGGAGTACTGAAGAGGTGCAACATGTTCAGTGGCAGTGAAGGTCTAAGCACCAAGATGAGATTTATCTTGGAAACAGGTCTCTGTGGTATTTCTGAGTTAGAAAACCCTTTCGTGACCTGTTTTATCACACTTGTTTTAAACTCCTGTCTCAGCCTTTTGCTGAGCTTAGACCTACAGATTTTTAACTGATACCAGCTACGTTCGTTGTGGTACACACCAGTTGTCTTTTGGCTTGGTTTTATGGCAAACCCTGTTCCTAGCTGTACTTAGAGAAGTCAGCAGGCTGAGTTCCCCCATCTTCTCCAAGTCTTGAGGCCAAACCCCTTGAAATCTGTGATGCCTGTTCATCCCATGGAAACAGGCATCAGAAAACCCTTGGGAGATCCATCACCCACAACCTCTTACATCTGGTGTCTCGATACTGTTATTGCAGACTGGGAGTACTGGTATTGCTGTGGCCAGAATTGCTCTTAACAACTACTTTGTGATAGTCCACGTTTTTTAAAAACTTCTTTCTTGTGTCTCTGCCTAAGACCCGAGTGCTTTGCAAAGATATCAATATATATTGGAAAAAACAGCACGTGGTACCCGTTTTGTTCTGATTTACACAGAGCTATGCGAGGTCTCGTGCAAGGAACATTATGCTTTGTAGATTTTTTTAAAGCACGTGGTTCAGCACCAGTTTGCATCTGGTCATACGTTATATAAATGCTGAAAACAAAAAAAATCTGAAAAATTCAAAGCAAAAGCCAGGCAGCACACTGGAAGGAGATGCTGGGACCAAAGCAGCACACACGCAAAACCTCAGGATTTATTTGGTTGGGTTCATGTTAAAACTTGTTGTAAACAAGTAGAAATTAAAAGCGAAATTGTAGTGCTGGAGGGGGCTAGAGCCGATGGTGTGAGCGGTGGGTGTCAGGTGTGTTCCCTCCCTGGGGTTGTGCTGGAACCCATAAATCCCCGCTGAACATCCCAACCCTCAAGCCAGGCGGCAGCACGACCTGCCAGAACCCTTTCCCGGCCCCTAAATGTTCGAACGGTCTCACGGCCTGTGGGTCAAGGTTGGTTTTTCTGTCCCTTTTTGCAAAACCTCCATAAACTTCAAGCCCTACTACATGTGTCTGGTGACGTAACGACATCTCACACTCGATATTCACGGGGTATAAATGACGACACTTGGCCATGCTTGTTATCCAAGGTTTTAATTGCTGCATAAAATTCTAATTCATCTACTTGCATTAACACTTAGCAAAAATGCTGACTGATAAAAGCCATTTCTTCTCCTCTTGCTCCCCACCCTCCTCACTGCCTGGGCTCTTCCCTATAACAAGCCTTTGTGGTATTTCCATGAGTCAAGACAGCTGCATTTGTCATCCAGGTACAAATAAAGATCGTTTCTCATGATGTTGCTGCAGTTCTGCTTCTGGTTGACCCATTTCAGGAATTCTTCCAGGCTCTCTTTAAATCGTGAGAAATCTGTTTCTGCCTTATCTGAGCATCTTTCGTCTTTGGGTGATGATTTCTAAGGGCAAAGAGAAGATACCGATGAATGACTTACAGAGAAATTCCACCCAAATTCTGCATGTTCTCCGTGGCTTCCTCAGCTCACTGAGCTGGAGGACAAAGCCCCTCACCTGTGACAACCCACTTTACACAATTTTTAGAAAATCATTCATCAAATAAGACCTTGCTCTTTGTCTTTGACTTTCACAGTAACACAGATCTTTTGGGGGTTGTTTTTTGGGGACGGGGAAGTCATCTCCCAAACTGGAAGAAGAGAAGCCAGGTCAAAACATTTCTGTCAGAATGTTCTGTCTCTGTAGTATTTCCAATATGTGTCTTTTAAGCTCTTAATTGCCCTGTTCTTCCTGAAGGACAAGCTGGACAGGTCATTATTAATTGTACCTAATAAACAATCTTCATTGCTGCAGGTCTAAGTGAAATATATTAATACAGAGAGTATAAGAATTAATTTGTTCACGAAAGGCAAACCTCACTATCCTTCCTTGAGGCTGCAGCTGGCTGAAAATTAAAAAGGAAAAACATTTTCTTTGCTAACGAATCGCAAAACTTTGAAGTAGAATTTACCAAAAAGTGGACAAGAAGTGACAGGGGAAGTCTTACTGAACAACTTCCACTGATGTTTCTTTAATTACTACCTTCAGGGGAATTAACTTGAGGGATGTGTTCTCAGCGTATCTATAGATTCATTTAAAGATTCCTGCCTTCTCCCCCATCCCATGCAAAACCAGAAGCAAAGGTGTTGGTGCAGCTCAGGAGCTGCAGCAGATCAAAATCCCCTGGTGTAAAAAACCTCAGCAAACAGCTAACCATGAGAAAATATCAGAAACTCAAGTCAAATCAATAGTACGAGCATACCTTCAAAATGGAACACTTTTCTTCTAGCTTTCTCATACATTTTTCAACTATCTTCATACACGGGTGTTGGGGGATCTTCTTTAGTTCTTTAATGAATTTTTCGGTGTTATAATGTGCACAACTTTTGCTCTAGGAGAGAAAGTCAATAGTGTTCTGGTTTTCAAGCAGCAAGCTTTTCTTTCTTAAAAGAACTGTTGATAAATCATATTGAATATGCCAGCAGTTATTTTTCTGTGGAAAGCTTAACATCCGCTGTCTGATTTCCTTCTTATACCTTTATTTAAGAAGTCATGTTATAAGGACACCTTCATAACTACTGTGACTGGAACTTTGCAGCAAAAATAGTCCCATCTCTGTCAATGGTGAATGTGACAACACTGGTAATTTGATTTAATTCCATCTAAATTGCAGAGTGAATTTTTCTGGGGGGTGTGCCTTTGCCTTGGAAGGAGGACACTTACATGGAGCTGCTTTAAAGTTTGGGGTTTTTTATATTGCCTTCTATTTGGAGACCAGACCAATCATCAGTTACCCCAGCCCCTGTTCTGCACCTTTTGTTCTGTCTTTGCACATCCCCAGAGCTGCTGTACCTGGGGTTACACTTCAAGTTTCCTTTGGAGACTCTGATAATAATAATAGAATCAGAAGCAACAGCTTCTTACCTTTATATGAAGTGGTTTGGAGAACTCCTCCTGAAAATGATAGAAATCCGTTAGTTACAAAGTGGAAATCATCTCAAAAAGCGAATCTAGGGCAGAGGAAGTGGAGAATTACTTACATTGATGGGGTCTTTTTCAGCTTCAAGCAAGCAAAGCATTTCATCGATTATTGATTTAGTCTTGTTCTGCAGATGTGGAGTTTCCTTCAGAGGAAGAAAGTAACTGAACGCCTCAGAGCTAAATAGTACCAAGAACAAGTGAAGATACATGTTGAAAGTGTCTATTTGTGAGCCCAAACCTTTTTTTCTGAACTAGGCTTTGAGTTCAAGCTCGTCTCTCTTGACAGATACTAAGCCCACTTATATAGAGAAGCTGAGCTAGTGCAAGATGTGATCGCTATCTTATCACATTCAGAAGTCAGTAAAATAGGAAAAAGAAAACAGCTTGAGCAGTCGAATTAGCAGCATATCTGATCTGAGACACATTTATATTTAATGTTCTGGTAAACTTCCTAAAGCCTCTCGCTCCAGAGCACCACCTCGATGCAAAGCGAGAGAGCAACGTGCAAGGACACTAATGATGTATAAGAGACCGTGAAAGAAGGACCTACTGATACCGGAGGAAATTGTTCTAGACACGGCCACGGAGTTGGTAGTTACCCCTCAGATGTGGCTGCATCCTATATCGCTGCAAATCATTGCAGCTTAAAGATGTCAGCACCTCTGGAGCAGATATCAGCCCAAGTCAGGACCTAATCCACCACCTACATCTCTGCATGACTTGGGCAGGCGTGTGGGAGCAGAGGGCTGCACAGACAGGCGTAGCAGCCTTGCAAAACTGACTGCTCTCCTCTGGCAAAAAACTTCTCTTTGGCCTGAAAAGAAAACAAGAAGTTTGATTGCTTGTTGTAATTAGCAAGTGTGAGGGCTGGATCTTACCCTGACGTAATTAATTTTTATGGCAGCACTGCGCGAATCTTCAATCTCAGCTGACAACTGCAGCTTCTTGTTCTTGGGGTGAATGTTTGTTGCTTCGTGAATGACACTCGGGCTCTCATGTAGCCCTTCACCAAGGTAGTCGGATGCTTTGTGTTTCGTGTGTGTGCGAACAAGGGAGCCAGTGGGGAGAAGGGCTGGAAGGACCGTGGAGCGTTGTGCAGCAGCTCACTGTGGGTGTGTTGGACCAGATGACCTTTAAAGGTCCCTTTGAACCCCAAAGCATTCTATGATTCTATTTTCTCCTGTGTAAACTTCAGTATCTCTTGGTAACACCAGGGTGTCTGTCCTGCTCCTCACGAGTCCATCTCCTTAACCTTCTCCCACTCCTGTCCAGACCATTTCCCCCAGGGGAAGCTGCTGACAGGAGGTTCAACCACCACCTTTTTCTGCATGTGGATTTAATGACCCCATCCACTATGTGGGCTGTACATTCATCTAAGCCGTTAGACAAATACTGACACCTACTAAAGCCATTTGGTGAACGATTTTCACACCAGATACCCATTCAGAACGACATTGCTCCTTTTAACACTCACCCACCTGGAAAACATACCCTGGCTTAATGTCATGTGCGTTTAAAACTGCTGGAGAGAAGTAGCAAGATATTATCAGGAGGCAGAAGCTTCAAGAGTGCACAGGATGCTCCTGCAAGCGATGCTGCAGGGGCCGGATGCAGGTACCGAGTCCTCGCCCCTGCCCTGACTCCTCCTGCTCACAACCAGCATCTTCAGAGGAGATTTGGGCTTGACAGGGCTGCAGCCACGCTCTCTCGCTTTTAATTCTTTTCTGTAAAGAGAAGCAAGAATCTGCTGTACTTTACAAAACCCTTTTGGTAACAAAAAGGTGTTTTCTAACAAAGATATTACAAGCAGGACTGCTCATGTTTGTAACCAGCTGAGAGTTTCCAAGGGTGTTGGCAGAGGGAGCTTTGAGAAGCTGGGATAAGCAAGATTTCACACGAAATCCCCCAACGTAGTGAAAAATCGGGAATATTGAAGACCACCAGTCTCTTCAAAAAAGGGCTGCCTTTATCAGTTGGTCTAATGAGGGGGGCTGCAGGTGAACTCGAGGCACGCGAACCCTTTTTTCCGATTTGTTCCGAAAACAGCTGGTCTGAAATCTTCCTTCACCTCTCTGTGACACTTCTGGGTTCTTTGGAGTAATACTGAGAAAAGCTGATTAAAAGCAGGCGTGAGCGATGGGCTGCCAGCCCTGCTTCTCCTCCGTCTGCGCTGCGCTGGTGGGACGTGCGGCAGGCAAGGGCTGCCACCTACAGAACAGCCACTGCTAGCTGCAGATGGATCTCGTGGCTTCTCATTTTTAGGGAGAGGAAGCCCTTGCCAAAGCACAGCACATCCCAGGCGCCTGCGGGATTTGGCGAGGGGTGAGCCTCCCGCTCCGATTTACCCCAGCCCGAGAGCCTGGGGGAGATGAGCTGGTTTATACTGATAGCAATTTCATTTGTATTTGCATTTTAATTGTTAGGTGTTGTCGGGAGTAGGTGTATCCACTGCTCCCCAGGCTCCCAGCTGTGATGAGGGTGGGTCCAGCCTGCTCTGTGGGAACTGTTTCCCAGCCTTCCCCACCACGAGCATCCCCCCATAGTCCTGACCCACTTCTCTTTCTCCCTCTCGGAAGATTTGCGCTAACAGATGTAAAACTTGCTTTTGTCATCTTTTCGCCTCACATCCCTCAGGATCGTGGCCCCTTCCCCAGCAGCGTTCCCCTCCTTGGAAGGTTGTCACCGCTCCTCTGTTTTGTACCCGTACTGGGTGTGTGTTGGATGTGATCCAGCTCTCCAAGGAGATTTCATCTTTCAAGCTGGAGGCCAATAACTACTCTGTAAAACCAGCTTTTCAGCAGGCTGCATGCCAGTCCTGGGAAGATGGGACTAGAACATCCCCTCAGGTATCTCACCAGGCTTGTCCTAACAGGCACCGTCCCAAAGCACAGCTGTACCCGATGTCACCCTCTCCTGCCATCTCATCACCTCCCAGGGTTGAGCTGCTTTGACCCCAGGCCACTAAAGATGCTGAGCCTCCTTTTCTATGCACTCTCTGTTTTTCTAGGTATCAGTTAATGCTTTATTCTTGACTGTTTTGGGGAGGCAGGGTGACGATGACTGAACCTACTGCTGGGTTTTCCCCCTGTTTGCACGATGTCTGTGTCTGCCTTCCCCCGCCCTCAAGAAACTCCTCTTCGGGTGTTATTAAAAATATTAGCTAATTCTCCAAACACGTTAGTTGCCTTATATAAGCCCTGAAGATTCCAGCATGGATTTCCCTGCCTCTTCAACCTGACCTTCCCCGTGGGCAGTGCAGTGTTCAGGGGATCCCAGGGGAAGACCACGGCTTGCACAAGCACCACGCTCTGCTAAATCCTCCATGAATCATGGTATTAGGGGAAAATTTTTTCTGGGTGCTCAGTGATGCCTTGAAAAAGTAGATAAAGATGATGGGCCAGGCTAGGATTGCTTGCTGATGGTGAAATTCCCATGGGAGAATCCCCTTGGAGGGGAAGGTGTGTGCCCAACAACCCTGATGGTCCATGGGACAAAGCTGCGGGTAAGCCCTGAACTCTGCCCCCAGATCGGATTTTTGTGGCTGTTTGCTAAATGTTTATTTTCTTCTGTATGGGTGAATCTTTCCAAAATCCAAATATTCCCACCGAGTGGGAAAAGGGAGATGCTGCAGTGAGACATTCGCCATGAAGTGAGAGCAAAGAAAGAAAACCCTGCCTCGTTGTTTAAGTGATGCTTTTACCCAAATTTGGAAACACAAGTGGTCTTAGGTGCTTCTGGTGATGCTCTACACAGAGGTATCCATCACCTACGGGGTACAGATTCTTCGTTCTTTACTATAAGGGTGGTAAAACACTGGAACGGGTTGTCCAGAGAGATGATGGAGGCCCCATCCCTGGAGACATTCAAGGCCAGGCTGGATGGGGCTCTGAGCAACCTGATCTGGTTACATATGTCCCTGGTCACTGCAGGGGGTGGGACTAGGTGACCTTTAAAGGTCCCTTCCAGCCCAACACATTCTGTGATTCTATGACTGTACAACTCTACAATTCTGTATAATCAATGTATATATATCTGAAAACTGGTAGAAGACGCCAGTTTGATCTATCTTTTTTAGGGTAGAATATTCCTTAAATAACCATAAACCTTCATGAAATAGAACAAAAAAAACCTCCAAATAGTTACACCTTTGTTCAAGAGATTTATTTTGCATAGATTCTGTTAGAGTTTGGTTACATTTCGTAGAGTTCTGCTTACAAATTCCCCAAATGTTTAACTGTAAAAGTCACCGCCGGTCGTGTTCGGTGGTTGCTCAGGGGACCCAAGGCTGGTGCCCACCTGGCTGTGCCATCAGCTGCGTCCCAGTCCCAGGGCTGCTCCTGGGGCTGGGAGGGGGGTGAAGGCACTGGATAGTACCGATAGTCCCTGTCCCCAACCCAGGGGTGGCTCTGCCCCGGCTTTGAGAGCCCTCAGGTGATGCAGAGCTGAGTTCCTGGGGCTGGGGCTTGGGCTGGTGAGCTAGAGAAATAGTGTGACTGCAAACCCCAGGCTGGGTCTTCAGGGATCCTCCTCCCATGCCGTTAAAGAGTAGTAATAAATTATTGCATTTCTTCATTGTAAAAATAAATAACTTGAAGTTTCCACAAATAAATAGAATAAATAAATATTAATAGATATATGAATAAATAACAGCTCGTTGTAGTTAGAGTATGCAAATGAGGATATCCAAAGCTCTAGCCTCCTGGCAGGCTGGACCAGAAGTGCTTCAAACTTCTTTGAAGACTACGCTGTTTTTGGTGGAAGGGCATAGTGATTCAGGAACCTTAAAAAATATTCCAAATTTGTGAAAAAATCATCCTCCTCCTCTGGCTCCCAGTCCTGTTTTTTGGGGGAAGACAGAAAACAGTTAAAAGGACAGAATCTGGACACATGAGTTACAGTCAGGCAGTTGTTCTCAGAGCGATCAGGACAATCACCACGGTGTCCTTTATGATCATCTAGAGAACATGAAACAGCGAGCAGAAAATCCAACCCAAGCATACCGTCCGCCTGAAGTGTAATGTTTCATCAGCCTTGATTTTCTTCAGATACTTGGCTATTCGTCTCTCCTCCAAGCTCGCTTTTTTGCATTCTAAGGCTTTAATAAATTCTTCCAGATAGGTGGTTACATCCCCTTTTGCCTCCATCACGTAGTTCTGGAATAACAAACTTCAGTCATC